TGTAACTGGAATTTACTTTGTTACTGTTCACATATGTGGTGCTATAGCCTACAGTCAGAGACGGGGGGGCAATCTGGTAAAAAGAACCTATGATAATCTTGTTGGAATCCATGATCGAGCTCATCATCTGCATTCTGTTTCCACTCTCATTTTATTCTGAAAGTCCTGATTGGAAGTTGTGATTCCTATCTTGACTTTCTTGCGCATTTATTTTCTAGGCAAAATCGCTAAAGAGTGACCATGTGGGTAACTCAGACGGAGATCTATTTTAACAACGGAGCTCTATTTTTTAAAATTATATCATCAAAATAATCTGACAGGCCAGATATTAATGTTTGCAGGCCACCAGTTGCTGACCACTGATTTAAAGGAACAGTTTGACATTTTGGGAAATACACATCATCACTGATAGCAGTTTCTATGTCTCCGATACCACTTCCTTGTTTATGTTTAAAGTATATAGGAGAAATAGAGCTAAATATAAATCATCGTGAATTCAGTTTACGTTGAAGCTATTTATTCATCAACAACATCGTGCTGTTCATATGCAATAGTCAGATTACTGTTGGAACTGTATTCATCAGTTGAATGCTAGCTAACAAAATGCAACATGTGAGTAAGGCAGCTTTGGAGTTCTAGGAAGGTTTTTCTTTAACCTTTTGACGAAGTGAGCCCTGCTCTGTTCCCCTCAGTTCCCCTGCCTCCAGTATATGTCATAAACCAGGCTAAAAATACCCAGTACTCACTGTATCTCTGGGTTTTATCAATGTTCTCATCTGGGAAAGTTCAGTATAAAATGCTCTAAAATGCTTTTGTGGTTTTGAACATTAGACACGTTTGATATATTATGTAATGTGTTAGCAAACAGTTGCCTATTAAGACATCCAGCAGAAACAGATCAATATTAACTTAATATTATTCATTTAAAATCATGTAACACTGATGACACTTCAGTATTCACTCCAGTGCTAAAATATCTGGCTTTTTAGCTGTTAACCAGGTTTAAGAGGGCCACTTACATACTGAACCTGCTTTGGGGGGGTTTTCATATACACCCACAACCCGCTGTATAGTGCTGCTCATTGTTCAGCATTGTAAAAATATCCTTCTTCCTCTCTCTATTGTCTAGAACGGCCTGTCACCCCTCCACATGGCAGCACAAGGTGACCACGTGGAATGTGTCAAACATCTTCTGCAGCACAAGGCGCCGGTTGATGACGTCACACTGGACTACCTGACAGCGCTCCATGTGGCAGCGCACTGCGGCCATTACAGAGTCACCAAACTGCTGCTGGACAAGCGGGCCAACCCCAACGCCAGGGCACTGGTGCGATCAAACGATGTTGTGTAGCTGTAACGATTCTCCTGTGGAGCAGATACAGCAAAGACATTTAAAAGCTTAGTTTTTTAATGATAAAGCGTAGATACATACATACAATGTAGTTGTATTCTGAAGCTATAGTGTTGGAAATAGAATGCATCTGACATTTTCAACAATAACCTTTACTGTATGTGTGTCCTCGACAGAATGGCTTCACTCCACTGCACATAGCCTGCAAGAAAAACCGTGTGAAGGTGATGGAGCTGCTGGTGAAGTATGGAGCTTCAATCCAGGCCATCACAGAGGTACTTCACCTGTCTGAACCAAACTAAAGCAGCAAAAATGTTCAGTATTCTTTGAACCTATTGGGTTAATCAGATGGGTTGATGTATTCTTGTTATCATGCATCTATTAGTAAATGCAGGAGATTAATCTCTTATTCTTGTGCCACAATGTAGTAATGGTATTAAGAAACGTATCAGTTAAATGCATTGAAATGAACATTGGCTATATCTGGACATTTTCCCTCAGTCCAGATTTACCTTTTTGACAAGAAGCTTAAAAAACTTGTTGCTTAACAGCTAACATTAGCATACAGAGCTAAAGCATGACTATTCACATTATCTGGACAGTGGTCACTGTGGCGACAAGAGACAATTAGTAGATAATGGTAAATGTTAAAACATAGTGTAACATTAGCACGAATAAAGAGGACTCATATAGTTTCCTATCATATGTTTAGTGTACTGTAAAATAAAGAGCAATCCAAAGTTTGTGCTACTTCTTATTTCAAATGTAATATGTGTCACATTAAAAAACCACAGCTTGACGACACAGCTGGTCCAGGTGTTTAACTTAATGTTTAACACTAACCATGTATTTTCAGTTTGAAAACCTGAGGTCAAACCCAGCAGGAATTTGTTGTTTTTGTGCAGTTCGGTTTAGGGAGGGTTGATGTTGATGTAGGAGTGAAGCATTTTTAATGAGAACATCATGTACTGTTTTGAATACTAATACGTTTGATAAGCTCGGCATGAGCGTAGGAAAAGACTGACATTTCATCCTGTGGTCCGTCTCCTACCTCCCCTCTCCTGTGTCCAGTCTGGTTTGACTCCCATCCATGTCGCAGCCTTCATGGGTCACCTGAACATCGTTCTGCTGCTGTTGCAGAACGGAGCCTCGCCCGACGTCAGCAACATTGTGAGTGATGAGAATTAACCCAAACAGAGGGCAGGAAAGAACAAGAATTCATTCTCAAGTGATGTTTTACTTTTAAATGAGAAAAAAGATCCTGGAAATACTATCAAAGTGGAGTTTTAGCTTCAGTATGTGCAAATATTTGTTGAATATGTGTGTGTTGACTCTGCCGAGCCGTATGCTGTATGTTTTTTGCACAGCGTGGAGAAACAGCGTTACACATGGCAGCCAGGGCGGGTCAGGTGGAGGTGGTCAGATGTTTGCTGAGGAACGGAGCGATTGTGGATGCTAGAGCACGGGTGATACTCCTGGTTTCTACAGAGGCTCATGCTACGAACACATTTACTTGAATATTTTGCCACTAAACAGAATAAGCTACTATTTTTTTTTTATATATATAAATGGATGGGTTGTTCTTCCTCTGTGCTGTGTGTAGGAGGACCAGACTCCCCTCCATATTGCATCCCGTCTGGGAAAAACAGAGATTGTCCAGCTGCTGCTGCAACACATGGCCCATCCTGACGCTGCCACAACCAACGGCTACACCCCCCTCCACATCTCCGCCAGGGAGGGGCAGGTGGAGACGGCCTCTGTGCTGCTGGAGGCCGGGGCTTCACACTCACTGGCAACCAAGGTGGGTGGAGGAGTCACGTGTTTGTTTCCATATTGTTTCCATATTCCAATATTCCATATTGTTTCCAAGTGTTTTTTTTCCATATTATATGTCATCTTTATATTTGACCATTTCAACACTAACTAACTCCTACAGCAGTGTTCAGAGGTTTCATATCTTATCACTCCTCCCACCCTCTCATGTTCACTGAGGCAGGGAGGGGGTCTTGTGGCTTGAGCCATGAAAAAAAAACGACATACTTTGAAGCGTAAAGCATCTATGCTACATTTTAAAGCTTTAGTCACAAAGTAACAAATAGTAAAAATAAAAAATAAAATCTATTTGTAACAATCCATGAAAGGTTTTTTAACTAAAGGGGAAAATTCTGAATGAATACTGAAGATTAGGACAGACTGGGGATGGTTGCAACATTTCTCTCAGTTACTAAGAAACCAACCAAACTTTTATTTATTAAGTCTGCTGATTACCCACACCGTTAAAGATGATCACATAAGACAGATCATTCACTATATTTATTTGAATGGACGAATTCAGATGTTTCAACTGACCCCAGCCCTGAGGACGGTTGCAACATAAAAAAAAAAACATTCAATTTCACTAATTAACTTTTTGTCTCAATAAGCACAGTATTCTGAAAATATGCACTGTTGTACAATAATATTAAAGTATTATTTATTCATGTAATAATATTTATCAAAGAACAGTTATTGAGTTTTGTTTTGTGTAGAAATTGAACCTACCTTCTGTCAATATGGGCACAAGTTATTGATTTTATTTCTTATGATGAACAGAACAGACGTATATATTATAAGAACATGAGAGACTAACAAAATCATTCACAAAATAACTTGGTTGTATTTTCTAATGCATTAAAATGAGCAATTATTGTTGTATCAGTTGTACTATGAGACAAAATTAGCTGCATATTTTGCCTATTTTGAACTAAAAGCATTGAAACACACTGTTGTGTGTCTGTTTTGATTTTGCTGCTGAGCTTGGGGACAGTTATAATAACTTGTTGCAACCATCTCCACCCTGTCAGCCATGACAGAACATCATGTGCTACACACACTGACCTTGATACATGTTAACCCTGTCACTTAGAGGTGACAAGTTTTCTTTAAATAAATGCCGCAGTTGAATGTGTCCTCTGTCTTCCTGGTGGGAGGGGGATGGTCTAGAATAATGCAAATGTTGATTTGTTTGGGCCACACTAAAAAAATATATACTGTATATATATATATATATATATATTTTGGATTAGTTTCCCTCTGTCAGTAAAACTGGCATCTTTATGTTGCCTGTCTCATTGTGGTAATTTGGTGCCACTCAGGTTCAAATGGAAATGATGGATTCATGTGAGCAAACTCAGTTGTCATAGCAGTACTGTATATACTGCAGTATGTAATAGTTGGACAAAGTGATGCATAAAAACAAATAATTCATGCAACACAACAGTCAAACCTTTTAAAGTAGCACTGCTGGGATTTTGTTCTTCACTTCTACAAACATTGTGGAAATGTGAGATAGAGAAAGAACCGGGTTCAAAATAAATGCAGCAGATGCTTAGATAAATAGGATTTTTGTCACGGTTTGCCCTTAGAGGACACTTTATGTTTGAACACTTTTTTACTTTGGATTCTTTTGGACACTTTTTGTTTGATTGTTTTGTATTTGATATTTTGAAATCACTTCCCTTATTTCTGTCACGTTAGTTTACTTCCTGTCTTTGTCTCGTTTTCCTTCTTGGTAATTGTCTGCCCCGCCCTAATGTGTTCCACCTGTGTTCTATCGCCCTTGCCTCCACTGTGTACTTAAGTCTCTGTCTTCACCTTTGTCTGTTTCTCCCACTGTCGTCAGCCTGTAGCACTCAGTTTGGATTTTTTGCAGTTTCCAGTAATTTCCAGTCTTGCTCTAGTGTTCCCTGTGTTTTATGATTATCTGTTTCTTTTGTTCCTAACTGTTTTTTTCATTCATTTTTTGTAAGTTATTTTTTGTTATTAAATCCCTTTCTCCTTTCTGTTGTTTGCATTTGGGTCCAACAACCCTTCAAATGTGACATTTATAGTCTATTTCAAGCTTCAAAAAGACTGGATCCTACATGTCCCATAATACAAGTGATAACCTTGTTTTGGCCAGAGCAGAGTAGTATTCCTCCAGATTAGTAAACTGATGCTGATGATCAAAACCAGCATTTTAGTATCAGTAATTTACAGATGACAATACAATGTGTCTTAAAGTGCAGATATGACCCATGTCATGGTTTCCTCCTGAAGACAACATAAAGAGGTTAACGTTGTGGCTGCCTCTGCAGGTTTCTGTCTTTGACCCAGTTTCCATGAATGATTGATGAACCTGTGAAGCTGCTGCTTCCCTCTGGATTGTGCATGAAGCCTAAATCAAGTGATTTCTCATCATCACTGTAGATGTGTTTACCAGTGGGGGCTGCACTGTGGAGATCGTTACTATGCATCCAGTCCTGGACAAATTAGTTCTTGTATTAATTCAGAAAAAGCGCTGTATGATGTCGTATCGTCAGGGTTCAGTGCTTCTCCTTTTCCTCATGTCGCTCTCCTTGGTTTCTCTCTGGGGAGGAAGGGCGTGGCTGTCGCTATAGCAACCAAACCAGGGAAAGTTGTTGTCATTCAAGTAACACTCTCCATCCATACAAACATGTTCATAACAGCTGGTACCCTTGATATGTTTATAATACTGTTTATGTATTATCTTATCCATCTTTCTCCTCTCCATCATTTTTCCTCGTTTCTTCCAAACAGCCATTACATCAGATATAATCCAGGGTTTGACAAACAAAGGACGACTCCCTCCCTGGGCAGGGCTGGGCCGTAAACACACTGGTCATGTGGTTTCTGTCAGCACAGGCTTTTCAGTATTTTAGAACAGTTAAAGTGCGCCCTCTGCTGCTTTTAATGTGAAATGGCGTTCAAGTGAAATCACTGTTATTTTTGAATTGCACCAGCGTGCCGGCATGTTCTTAAATGTTTTTTTTGCCACTAACAAAACACACACAACACAACACCACTACAGCTAACAATGTCCACACCCAGTGTTGTGCCAGTTCTCACTTAAAAAAGAACTAGTTCAAACGTCAGTTCATACAGATGAAAATAAACTAGTTCATGTTCATAGTTCATTTTTTAAAATAAATAAAGGCCGATATTTTTTTTCAGAAGAACCTCCTTCTACCATCCATCACCAGCCCCAAATCATTGCCACTCCCAAACTAAATGAATTATTATACACCACTGAAGAATCACAGACATGACTTACATTTAAAACTGTGTTTAAATATAATCCGTCTTCACTTGTTTGTTCATGAAACTGCTTCAAATGCTCAAACAAACTGGCTCCAGCAGTAGTAGATGCGTCTGTACCGTCTGTACTGCTAACACCTGCCAAGCTGGACCGTCTCTGTGGAGACGTCATGCGTCGTGTCGTAAAAACGTGAGCTAAAACTGTCGTAAAACGTGCTCACGTTCACATTCATCATTTGTAAACTGATTTGTTCAGTTCAGCTGAAAGTCCTCTATTGTCTCTGGTTCACTAAACATATGAACGTGTTCAGTGGACGCGTTCAGGCACAGCACTGTTCACACCATGATCCATCCCTGATTCACAAACATACAAGGCAGGGTTGTGCTTGGTCCAGGGCTTGTAGAAATCTACTGCAACTTCCAGAGATGGAAAAATAACTTGACACCTACAATGAAAATATGCAGATATATGTATATTTTTAATGAGTCCATGATACCTTGGACTAAATGTTTTGATACAATAAATTAAAGTGATTTAAAAAAAAAAAAAAAAAAAAAAAGGTATAAATGACTTGCTTGTGTCTTACAGTATTGAATTCATATATTAAGCAGATTAATATGTAGATCAGAGGAACCAATGACATATTTGACCTGATTTGGATGAAGCTGAACTGTATAGATATCCTACATTTATTGCCTTTCCTTCATCTCCCATCTCTGGCTGTGTCTCTCCACAGAAAGGTTTTACTCCCCTTCATGTGGCCTCCAAGTACGGAAGCCTGGATGTAGCCAAACTTCTGCTGCAACGTCGCGCTCCACCTGACTCTGCTGGAAAGGTATGTATTATTTCTATCAACTATTTAAATGAACCAACAACTATTTATATTCGTCTTTATAGTTGTTACTGCTCTGTACAGTCTGATCAGAGGGAATCATGCCTCTTTATTCATAGAGCTAACTGATGTTTTAATGAACCATTTTCATGTAAATGTAAAAGCCTGTTCATTTAAATGGTGTGTTGCTATTTTTCTGTATTGAGGTTAAGTTGTCGACGAGAGCACCGGTAAGACTAGTCTGAATAAATCAGCTGTTCCTTTGTTTGGATTAACTATGATTTCTTCCAGGAAACATAAACTGTTAACTGAACCCTTTTTTAATAAAGATTCCTTTTTTTTCCTTTGAATATATTCTTCTTTGCGTCATATTAAGGACCAACCCAGTAATCCTTCCAACTTCTGCTGTCTAATATAACTCAAATTCATGTCAACCTGCAGTCTCATCCCTTTAACACACACTATTAACTCTGTGTGTGTGTGTGTGTATGTGTGGTGTTAATGGCTTCATACTGCACTAACTGCTATTTAACTCATGTGCACTCACCGTCCCTCCCTCACAGAACGGCCTCACCCCGCTCCATGTCGCAGCACATTATGATAACCAGAAGGTTGCGCTCCTGCTTTTGGACAAAGGAGCGTCCCCCCACACCATGGCCAAGGTGAGAGTGCACACTAAACTCACTGTGCTGACAGGAGAGCTTGTTCCCGGAGTGGAAACCCCATCGACATGTTTCAGTTGTGAAGATGTGGCAATGTAGCCAGAAGGTCAAAATAATCTTCTTTCCGATGAGCCAATTTCCCTTTTCTCAGGGTCATAACTCAGTCGCACAGCACAATCAAACTGGGACAAAGACATCATACGAACTGTGCTGGAGTCAGCCTTAGTCCCCAGCCAGGATTGTGGACTGGCTAACAGAGCTCTGGCTGAGGACCTCAGGTTGTGCCTGGGCACATATGGTGTCAGCAGATCTGAAATGTACTCAGGTGCAATTATAACATTTAGCAGATGCCAATGAAGAGACATAAAAATAGTAATGTGCTCTCTGCTTTTGGTTTTGGTGAGAAGTCTGACAAGCTGTAGTTTCTGTTGGCTCTGTTGACTCAGACATGTATAAAGAGAGTTACATAGAGAGTTACAGTCTCTAGATTCTTACTGGATAAAGTAGGACTGACTGGATCTTGGAGACACTCCTGGGGAGATCATGGCTTATAATCATCATATTCATACTTTTACTTCAGGGCAAAGCAACATAACTTTTACCAGTGTAAACAAATATCAGTTTATTGTTAATATTCAGACATTCAGCAAGGTTCATCCTCCAGTTTTCATTCAGTTTATTGTGCAGTGACTGATGACAGCAGGTTTTATGATTGTATCTTTGAAAACCTTGAACCTTGTGTGACTTGACAGTAGAGGTGATGGTAATGAGTGCATGCAATAGTATGTCAGTAGCTTTGTCATTTTTTCATAAACACCTCAAACCAAATTTATTTTGATGTTGGTCTCCTCCAATAGAAACCTCCAGTATTTGAAATATGAAATATTGAAATGTGGCTAAATTAGATATTCTGATTTGTATTTTCCTTTACTCACTTCTACCTGGAGAACTGACAGTTCCCAAGTATCTACTCAGACTCAGTTTTTTAAAATAATTTATGTATGCCTTATTTTGGGTATATGGTTCAAATATTATATTATTATTGTATATTCCATGAGCAGCTGAACATACATACAGAACTACATCCAGTAAAAGAAGATAATAAACATGAGTAGAAAACAACTGAACACAGAAATTGAAGCAGCAGGCTCTCATCTGTGACCATGTGACTGAAGCTATACTTAGCTCAAGTGATGACAACTGAGAACAGGTATTTGGACTTTTTTCTGTCAGACTGAACTTTTCCCTCTATAAACATACTATATTTTAGATATTATATATCACATATATTAGATATTTTTTTATTCAACATCTTTGTTGGGTACTACTTTCAGCAGCGGATTAATCCTCCTTTGGTGCTCTAGTGAGTATCTCTGGCGGCAGGATGGTGTGTGTGGCATTGAGTCAAAACTACAGTGTATGTGTTCATGGTGATGAAGGAACAAGTTGCCCAGTGCAACAGTGTGATTCACTGATGTGTTTTAATAGTTTTCAGACAACAGTGGGGCTCTAAGGCTCAAAGATACACACATACCACTCGTTAGAAGGATACGCTCCATGTTGGGTCTGCACACAGGAAAATAAATCCATGCACCAAAGTGACACCATTTCCTCTCTGTCCTCTGTCCTGGTGAATCAGAACGGCTACACTCCCCTCCACATTGCGGCGAAGAAGAACCAGATGGAAATCGCCACAGTCCTGCTGCAGTACGGAGCCGAGACCAACATCCTGACCAAGCAGGGTGTAACTCCGCTCCATCTGGCCTCCCAGGAGGGCCACGCCGAGATGGCTGACCTGCTCATGAGCAAAGGAGCTGAGATCAATGTCCCCACCAAGGTAATGCAGAAACATGGTTTTTGAGTAAAACTCAGTAAATAGCGCAGGTACAATCACCATACAGTGCAAGTGTTTTTGGGGAAGTTGCATTAATTATACTGCTACAAGACATTGTATGAGAGTGTTTCAGTTATGTTATTGTGCCTTGCTACAGTATGTCTGAATACTATAAGTCTTAGTAACAGACAGAACATTCACATACTGTAGTGTTTAAGTACAAATAGTTGTAATGACCCCGTCAACCTGCTGCTTTCAGGCCTAAATCTTCCTCCTTCACAATGTCAGATCAGCTACATGATGATATCTGACAGGGCAGAATGGACAGACTCTGGTCTGAACATGGCTGCTGTGAATGAACTGTTGTGTGTGTGTCCCTCATGCAGAGTGGCCTGACTGCCCTCCATCTGGCAGCCCAGGAGGACAGAGTGACTGTGGCTGAGATCCTCACCAGGAACGGAGCCAACCTTGACCAGCAGACCAAAGTATGAGCACTCACTATTTTGATCTTCTTCATGTAGCTCTACACGTTCTGGTTACAAGATGATAGTCTTCTCAATTCATCATATTCAGTATTTTTACAGTGTCTCTCTAGCCAGAAAAGTGTTATATTTTGTGTTATTCATGACTGACTACTTGTTTTGCAGTTGGGATACACACCGCTAATTGTAGCATGTCACTATGGTAATGCCAAGATGGTCAACTTCCTGCTTCAGAATGGAGCCAGTGTCAACGCTAAGACCAAGGTACTCCGGCTGGAGCAAGATGGTTGAAGCGTTCAGATAATCATATTATAGAAGCATCATATGTGGCGTTATACCACTCATCATCATTCACTTTCTACATGAACAGGAAGCAGTTTGTCCGAATGTTGAAAAACATGTCGTTGCACCCATACGCAAATGTTGTATATGTACATATATTGAATTTCCATATATAAAATATATGTACATATAAATGAAATACATATATGCAAAACTTATATATGAAACCAATTAGAAATGTGAACAATTTCATATATTGACATGTCTAACCCATAGAAATATTTATGTTTATGTATGTATCCTTTTATTGTAGACATACGCTATGTAAATCCCATATATGTATATATATACATATATATATATATATATATATATATATATAGAGAGAGAGAGAGAGAGAGAGAGAGAGAGAGAGAGAGAGAGAGAGAGAGGTTTTATATGTATGTCATTTTAATAAACTATATAAATTAAATATATATATCATAAACATATATGATGGAACATGTTATACCATATAAAAAGTCATCATAGAGATATTTTTAATAAATGTACATATACACATTTTGCTATGGGTATTTCATGTGTTATGAACTTATATCTATATGCAGAGAATTAATATATGTGAAAATAATATATCCCCTTATAAGTGACACATATGGCAACACCCTTCTTGATATAGAGAGACATACGTCATATATTATGTTTCTGTAGGGTGAAGCCACAGAGTGATAGGAAACACTGGGGTTTATGTATTGGAGTAATGCTACAACTAGCTGTTTTTGGTGTCATTATTTATACTCATCTCAAGCCTCCGGTTGTATTAAAGGGTTGGTTCATTCAAATGACAAAAACATCCTGATTTACAAATAGTTTGGTTTTATGTGTGAGTGACTGGAGATATTCATCTCTGAGATTCCTGCCTCCACTCCACTATAATGGAAGTGAATGGATTTTAGTTTGTGTTGCTCACAGCAAAGCTTATAGGGACGACTTTTGGTGGGTAAATTTAGGAAAATAAATTAGTTAATAAAATACAATAGTAAGAAATGAAGAAGAAAAGCTAAAGGTGGCTAAAATAGGTTTAGCTCATTAAAAAAAATATAAAGTCATTCTAATTCCTTTCTCCTCCCTCCCTCTTCCCCCCTCCTCGCCTCCCTTCTCTCTCACTTGCCTTTCTCAGTTTTCTTCCCCTTCCTTCCCTCTTACCTTCTTTCTTCTCCTTCCTTCATTTTTACATTTTGACATTGTTCTCTTTTTCCCCCCCAGAATGGATACACTCCCCTCCACCAGGCGGCCCAGCAAGGCAACACACACATCATTAACGTCCTGCTGCAGCACGGTGCCAAGCCCAATGCTATCACTGTGGTGCGTAAACACTCATCCACACAAAAACACAAGCACGCACACACACATGGATACACACATCTCATTCACTTCTTCTCCTTGTCCAGAATGGTAACACTGCCCTGGGCATTGCTCGGAGGCTGGGCTACATCTCTGTGGTGGACACGCTGAGGGTCGTCACAGAGGAGATCATCACCACCACAACGGTACGTCACACACACACACACACACACACACACACGACATTCAAAATGAGATCTCTTCAGTGCTTCCTCATCTTTGAACTGGAATCTTTTGTTGGAGGTGATTTATGTGTGGTGTGAACGATGGTTAAAGAGACCCGTTTCCTCCCATGCTGCCAGACGGTGACAGAGAAACACAAGCTGAATGTGCCAGAGACCATGACTGAAGTCCTGGACGTCTCCGATGAAGAGGGTGAGTTTTGACACATGCATGATGCCCACTGGACACTAACCAGCACTGGACAGAAACACTTAGCAGCTAACTGGTATTATTGACCTTAGATTCTTCAGGTAATGTTGCTCTGCTGAGTGTGGAAAAGAGCAACGGTTTGCAAACACAACTTTGTAAGTGTAAGATGTTAGGAGGTAAAGAGTGACTGTGCTGTCTACCCTCAGAATTCAGATCCATTGATGATGATGCTATGTCAGACGACCTCATGGATATGGAAGGTACTCAGCTCGGGGCTTTGCGTGAGGCCTTGCTGTGCTGGTTTTACCCTGGAGTGGGGGTCGTGTGTTGTGCATGATGAATGCAGAACCAGCTGTTTATGGAGATGCCACTTTACTAACTGCTGATATTACACCATGATGTTTGGACACCAGTGATGCAAAGACAGTGGTTAGAATCCAGGGGAGAGGGTCGTCAGATTTCTCTCATGAGGGTCATCATCACAAAGCTTTGTGCCAGACCTGGGCCAAAGTCACCTACGACTCCCCTGCATTTACCACAGTATCTCCCGGCTACAGCCTGATCCGCAACACTCTCAGGCCCGTGTCGCTGTGGTGTGGCACACCATCACCATCTGCTGCTCTGTGGACAAATGAAACTGAAGTGTCTTAGTATTGCAGTAAGTGTTGCAACAGAACAGAACAACTTCAATGCTGCTTGGCCTTGATTCTCTAAGTCTCTGAATGCTACAGGGAGTAAGAAAACCTTTTTTTATAGTCCCTCTGTCCTCCTGTAAAAAACAAGCCTGCCGGTCATCTGTGCAGCAGGTTCAATTCCCATGTGAAACCATGACCGTTCCTTGTTATTACTGTAACCATGACAACAAAGATTGTCTAATCTTGAGGAAGGAC